TGAGCAATCATTAAAAAAGGAGTCAATGATTTAACAAAAGCAAGCAAGGACAATCTAAGTGCTGCACTAGTACTTAGGGGGAAAGTCCTTCCCCTCCAACTGCTACACACATACATTGGTGGTGCCACTGCAAAGAATTCACATTAGGCCACAGTCCAAAACTATACTTGATGAGAAGCCACAGTCTGTGATCTACACCACTGGAGTAAATGCACACATAAACCAGTTCACAGAGCCACAGACAAACTACCAAAATATTAAAATGGGGGGAGGGGGGGAAGAGAATCTGAGCAGAGGCAAACGAAGTGGAAATCTTCGAGATCTGAGGTAGTATTATGAAGGAGACTGGGAAGAAGGATAGCCTGAGAAGGTTCCAAAGAGTATTTTAAAGTAAGGATGATGACATGGTACTTCCCCTTCCACATGAAGCCTCACTTCCAATAAAAGTTACCTGAATAAGAAGCAGGTATAATAAAGTGGCTAAACAGAAAGGTTGTAAGCAAACTGAGATCTGTTAGGAGAGGAGAGGTTTGTCAGGAGATTGGCTTAGGCTTGAAGCCCAACCACTAAGATCTTGAATTTTCTACAAAGCAGAGGTACTCTTTAAGTATCTGAGCAGATGTGATCAAAATGTTTACATAGCCTGGAAGGAGAAAGCGCCAGGAGTCATTTATAAAGAACTGGACATTCTCTTTTCAATCATTTCCCCTATAACCATTTGTTTACTATGAGAAAAATGGATGAGATCCAAGGGTAAGTCTTACCACACTCTGTGAATTTTCTCTGAAAACATGCCAATGTCACTGAAATTTTTTTTTTTAACAATTCTTAGCAATCCTAGAAGATAATATATAAGATGATTTACAAAAACCTCCAGGTTGCTTCACTTTCTCTCCTTCCTCAATGATTAGTAATGGGTGTAGTTTTCCTCTCTAAACTAACTTTTGTTATCATTCTCCTTCATGTCATCAATCCTTGGTGATTTCACACTCAAATTAATGACAATTCTAACACCACAGCAATGGACTTTTCCATCTCTATCACCTATGATGGAAAGCTAGGCTGAGATGACATCTCAGACCTCACCATCACCTGAAATTGTTTGACCACCAAGATTCAGAACTTTGAAATTCCCTCTGATACCCACCCTCTGGACCTTCCAATTCTCACTGCCTCAGTTCCTCTGAATCTGCTTTTATCTCATGAATTCCAGCTTTTTGAACTCTATTATCCCTGTCCATTGCCTAAATATAAAGCTTTACTTCTCTTCTCTTTAGTCTTGAACCTACAGTTAAGCCTTTTCAACAAGGCCTTGTCCTCCAGTCTTGAATTTCTCTCTCCAAGAGTTCATCAGCCCCCATCATCTCTGTCAAGGTGACCCCCAGAGCTACACAAACAGCCCTCATTCCCCTCGTGTGCCCTAGGCCTACAAGGCCACACGCCTATTAGGCATTTCCAACTGGACGTGACTCATTAGCACTCAAACTAAACCATGTGAAATTCAAACCAGAATGTATTGTCTCTCCCTATTTAACTTCCCTATTTTTGTCAAGGTTCCACCATCTTGCCAGTCACCCAGAGTCTTCTCTATTCCTCACTCTTGCCCTCACCTCACACATCTCCAACCCCTGTATTTACTTATATGTGTGCTATTTTCCTATGTTCCCGAATATAAACTGCTGGAAGGCAGGAATTGTTTTTGTCTTTGTATCATGAGCAGCTGGCAAAAACACTTACTATTCCTGCCCTACTAATTCATAGTCACAGATGACTTCAACTCATCATAATAGGCACTTAAATGTTTGTTGACTTCATCACTCCTACTCCAAACCCTGAAGTCCAACACCAAAGTAGGAAGCCGCAAAGACGTGCTGCCTGGAGTCCACTACAAATGTATGCTTGCCTCACCTGTGGAGAACAGAGCAATTCTATGGCACACTCTTCACCAATAAGTCTCTTCAAGCTCCTAAATCTACTCCCAACACACTCAATAGACTATCTTGCTTCCTTTTTTACTAAGGAAGCTAAAGCCAAGCTTGGAGAACTTTATCTCCTCCAAACCTATCTTTACCCATCTCCTCTTTTATTTTACTCTCCAGAATATGAAATGATTCCTTCCTCTTGCACTCCTTTTCTTCTTCCTCATGTTACCACACAAATAAGGCATGAAAAAAGTATCCAAATCACAGCAATTTAATTGTATTACTTGTGTTGCTGGTCCAAGCTAGAGTTTACTCATGAGGGAATAAACAGACTTTAGAACATCATTTTTAGAACCTGAATGTTTAGGCTGGCATGTGATATACAGCTCTTTTATAACCTATTAGAAGAAACTCATCACAGAATTATATACGAATCTACCGCTTATAGCTCTTTCTAAAGCAAATTACCATTCAACAACCAGAAGCTATCCATAGGCTCATACATCTAGAACTGGCAGGAACCCAAGAGGGCATCTAGTCCAACTCTTCATTTTACAAATGAGGAAACTGGAGTCCATCAAGGTGAAGTAACTTCCCCAAGCTCAGAGAGTTGGCATCAGTGGTAATCACCATAGTAGTCATAAGGCTTTAACCCAAACAACCCTGTGATCATTTTAACCAAGAATGAAATTGGAAGCATAACAGTGAAGTTGTTTTCTCTAAGGTGAAGCCAAGTGTAAGTAAGAGCTAGAATTAAAAATCTGAGTTCTGGATCATAATTTTACTATTACACCATTAAAGAAAGAGCTAGTACAGCACTGAAGAAGAAATAGTAAAAAATCTGATGTGACTTGGTTTAACCACTGGAAAACAGCAATAGTAGCTTTCTTTTAGTTTGTGAGGTAGCAGCTAAGAATTACTCAGTTCAATGCCCATTATTTGCCAACTAGGTTATTACTACATATGACAGTAGCTTAAAATGCCTTTTCATCTAAAAAAAATTTATTCTGAACTTTTGACGCCAAATAAAATGGGTATTGCTATATACAGAGAATGAAAAAGAACTGTGCATCAAACTGTGGATCTCTATTATGTACAACTTGCTTTTCTTTTTAAAAATAAATTCAACATGTAGCTTTCAAAGTTGTCTTGCTTCTCTATAATACTCTTCCTGGCCTTTCTTCTGTGCTTTTTAAAAAAATGCTTCAATGATCTCATTTTATTTTGTTTCTCATATTTTAAATGGAAGGCAAAGGCCATCCAAGCTCAAAGCCCTGAAGTCTTCTTGGACTTTCTTTCATCTGCTAAATCTATTCAGCCTGAAGTCCTGTTACAGTAGTTTATTTCGTAATACTTTTTGTATCGCTTTCTCTCCATTCCTGATTTCTGTCTCATTAAGGTCTTCATCACCTAAAGCCTAAATGACTGCAAAAACCTCCTAAGGTTGATTTTCCTGCCTCTGGTCTGTCTCCTTCCAATCCATCCTGCACACTACAATCATATCAATCTTTACGGAACACAATTCTGATGTCAAGGCCCTCTTCAAAAATCTTGACTAATTCCTAAAGAATAAGGCTCAAATTCCTGAGTTTGTCAAAGACTTGCAACCTGTCCATCTAGACTTATTTGCCAAGACTTTCCTTTAAGAATTCTATGTACTAGCAAAATTTTATTATGTATGCAATGAGCTTTCTTGCTTTTGACAAAAGAAAGCAGCATGGACTGGCCACCTGTATTGGCCTGATCAAATCTCTATTCTGCTCTCAGTTTCCTCATGAATTAGAAGAAGTGGTTGGGGAATTTAATGTATAACTGCAATAACCAAGTTTGGCCCCAGAGAGGCCTTTTCTTCTTTGCAGAGGTAGGGGGACAATGGGTATGGATCACTGTGGTGACTATTTTTGCTGGATTTTTTTTTCCCTCCTCTTTTCCTTTTCACTCTTTATCACATGGGAAGGTTCCCTGAGGAACAGAAAGGAGAGGGATATGTTCAGAAATGACGATAATGAAAAAACAAAAGATACTAGTAACTTTTTTAATGTGGGGGGGGTTAGGAGAGATCTAAGTTCTTTTCCAACGCTATATCCTATGATACTGTTAGCCCCTTTTGACTGAAAATGTTCTCTTTTCTCCTAATTCCACCCATCCAATCCTTATGTTTTAAGGTCTAACTCAAATGCTGCCTTTTCCAAAAAGTTTCCTGTGATCCCTACAGTAAGAAGTAACTCCTACAATACCTCCTGGTATCTCTTACCTTACATTTGCATTCTACCTTGTATTATAGTTCTTTGTGTACAGAGGCAAAGTAGTATGGCATACCACCCATCCCATCTCCCTTCCCTTCACTACTAAATTTCTTGAAAAAAATCTGTCAAAACTGATGCCTCAACTTCCACACCAGTCACAATCAATCTGTAAAAAAAGCACTGAAGTGCTCATTAATCAGGCACTGTGCCAGGCACTGGGGATACAATGACCAAAGAGAAATAGTCCCTGTCCTCAGAGCATGAATTCTCTCTATCCCTTATCCACAAGAGGGCTCCAACAAAGTTACCTACTTTCAGAATGTGAAATTTCTCTGTGGTACAGGCATAGATTAATTAAAAGTTCCATTTAGCTCCTTTCCCAACAGGACCTCCTTCACCTTTTGTTCCTCAATTCATCTCACCAGTTTTGTGTTAAAACCCCACATTACAAACTGTCAACAAAATAGTGATCGTCAAGGAGTCATAGAAAGGGATAAAGACTTACTGATTTTAGTGTTCTGGAGCTCTGAGGTCAATCACTTGTTTATAGCCAAGAGAAGAAAGCCTACATATAAATCTCTTGGGATTGTCAATTTTTGTGACAGGAAAGCTCCTTTTTAGGAGTCTACTTGCTTGTGGAAATGGCAAAAACAGAGAGAAACCAAGTCAAACAACTACAAGGCTTGACCTACCCTTTTCTCTATCACATTTTTTCTTTTTAAAAAGAGCAATTTTTATCAGCATGGTTTATAGCTTAAGAAAAATTATAATTTGATCACTAATCAGAATAGGAAAATACATTACATGTTGTATTTCTAATATAAAGGGTTACCTGAGAAGTGAGTGAGAAGTCTTGTTAGGAAATGCTCATTAACCTGTTCAATCTTGCTAAGGCTGGACATCATTTCTACTTCAGCAGCTTCTTGGGGAATTCCAGGGTCAAGGCTAGAATCAGTCTTGACATCTTGATCTCTCAGGATATCATGTGACTTCTCAGGCCAAAAAGATTCTGGAGCAAACGTTGAGGTGACCTGATCTGCCGAGGTTTGTATGAAGTTCTCTTCCATGGATGCTTTCACACCCTCTTGGAAAGGCTTTATCTTCTCATCATGTCTCCCACCTAATTCTTTAAGGGCTTTAATTGTAAGCTGTTCCTGCTCTAAGTCAAGAGATGCTACTGGAGTGCTCTGACTAAGAATATCATTCTGGAGCTGACTGCCATTGGTGTTCTGGTTTGGTATAACGCATCTGTTGTTAGCATCTTTGACTCTTCGCAAAACTCCTGGAGGAAAGGCTGTTTTCAAAGTTGTACCCTCTTCCAGATCTGCTTCAAGGGCATTTACTTCAGCTAATACTTCACTTGTTTGGGTTTCTGAAAGTATTGCTATAAGGTCTTCTGGGGAGTCAACACTTTTATTCCCCCTCATGGAGTCTCCTCTTAACACTCTTGAAGTTTCTCCAGGAGAAAACTTGAGATTCTCAGTTCCAACAGGTTTCAGGGGAAGAATTTCATCCAAATTATCCGACAGCTTCATGTATTTTGCTGTGGAATCAGGGGCCATTATCTCTGGACATGAAATCTCACGAACTGGACTTTCTTCATGAACATCTGGCTGAACTTGTAAGGTTTCAAAGTCATCAACAGATTCTCTGAAGTTCTCATGTGTCTTGTTGACACTCTGACTGGATTTATCTTTGATTTCCTTTTCATCTGCTACTATCATAGTACTCTGAACAGAAACAGGTTTCTCTGCCTGAATTGTGACACCACCAGGAGCTTGGCCTAAAAGCTTCTCAGCGCCCCTTTTATCACTTTCAAATGACACATCTGTTGTCATATCTTCAATGACAGTATCATCCGATTCACCAGAACTATCAGCTTCCATCATTTCTACTAGCACAGAATTCTGCCCATTCAGTTCAACCTTCAGGGTGTCATCAGGTAAAATGACCTTTTCAGTAATCCCCTCAAGGCCTGATGATGCATATTTTCCTCCTTGAGACTCTGGTAATCGGGTAAATGTGCGACCTCCTTTCAGCACACTCTCTGCCATACCTTCAATACTGACTTTCTTTGCAGAGTCAACACCGTCAGGTGAAACTTTTTCACAGAGGGATGCTCCTGATTCAATGCTAGGACCATTCTCATGAATGGAATGTATGGGGATTTTCTGAATGTTCTGATGAGCACATATTTTAGGATGTGACACTGGAATTTCTGAAGCACATTCATTTCCATCTAACCTTGAAACTTGAGCAATGTTTTCAGAAGATTTTTCTGGCTGTTTTACTTGGGAAATTAAATCCCAAGTCAATACCTCATTGGTGAAGTTATGCATATCACTTACACACCTAGATACCTCTTCTAGGGCAGCAGTAGTTCGTGAAAACTGTCTGGTGAGCACAGCAGAGGATGGGTAATGCCTTTCCTCTTGGTTTCTCAGTGGGACTATTCTGCTACTGTCCTGTGAATTGTCTGTAGTTATCTCTGGGTCAGGATGCATTGCCCAGTTATCAAGTTCACTAGTGCTTTCCCTATAGGAGTCTTTAAACTCTTGGTCAAATGTTGCTTTGTCAATAATGACTTCAAATGGGGATTCAGGAGAATCTTTTTCCACACTGATAACACCAGAAACTTCAGATGCGGACAAAGAATGGTTACTGCTGCCTTCTGCCTCAGACTGTTCAATATGTAGTTTCTGACCATTCAGCAGAGTGAACCTGACATCAGCATCTGAAGCAGCTTCATCATCCCTAGTAGGTATCTCACTTTGGTTCTTTAACCCTTGATCTTTACCTGCATGATGCTTAGGTGGACCAGTTTCCTTTATAATGGCAGGACGTTCAGGAAAACTGGTTGGAATGGATGGACGACCACAATGTACTTCTGCTTCGGTGTCAAGGAACCCAAGAATTGCAGCTTCAATCACAGAATCTCCATTGGGCCCATGAAGCCTCTCCATCTCTTTATTAGCAGTATCAGCAAAATTGTCTTTTCCTTCTTTCGACAAAATAGGCTGGATGTCTAATACTTGGCTCTCTTCTTCATGCAATATCATGTCAGTGTTATGAATTTCAGAAGACGAAAGAAAAGAAGTCATGATTTCTGATGTGCCCTTATCAGAGCAGAGAGAGCTCAATCCCTCTGAAGTCAGGATTTGGAAGAAAAAATGTTTACAGAGTACAATACACATGAGCTAGGCAGGCAAAGCAGCATGCTTTTCATTTTAAATTTATATATGCATAAATGTGGACAAGAAAACAATGACTACACTTATCCTACAAAGCATGCATGAATCAAGAAGCCACTTCATGCTATGAATGCAATGGGGCGAAACACAGGGAAGGTTTTGGAAGCCAGGGACTTTCTTTGCAGAAACATTGAGGCAGCACAAACTATAACACCACTTTGCAGTTTTATCTATGTGGTAACAAAGCGTTGCTAAAGTTTTGTACGTTTATAACAGGACTTTTGTTCTTTCACAGTTGGGAGGCAGATGGGAAGGGGAAAAAAACTATATAAGATACATAAATTGAACAATTTCGAACCCATGGTCTTATTTCATTATAAATTCACTATTCTTTGCTGCATAATTCTGATGACCAGCCCTGGCCATTTCCCTACTTTTACTGCAGAGGTGACAAATGTGGACAGGAAACATCGCCTGTGCTCTTGGATGCAGTACGTTGATGCACTGAGTAGTTCTCATGATTGCCTTTTCTTTTAAAAATCTTTGTTACATAAGATGGCTCCCTGGGCAGAAATTTGGAAATGAAGATGACATAAAAAGAAAACGTACCACTAAAAATGATAAGACATTTAAAAAAAATAAAATTCCCTGTTCTAATCTGACCCGGTCTTGACAAGAAGGGTCCCAGGCACGGCTGGTCTTCCCTCTGAACTGCAGAGGGCACAGAGCTAGTCCTCTCTTACATGTTAACAGCCAAGAAGGTTCTGTCCTAGGCTGCTCTTATACATAGACAATTGCTTACAGGAAATAATTTGAAGGGTCTTCAAAAGACCCACCAGCTCCAAATTTTTCAACCATTTGGATTTCTTTCGTCTGAAGCAAAACCAATAGTCAGAAATCACCTTTTAACATTCAAATACTCTTGCAAAGGTAACAAATTTCACCTCATAATAATGCTCATATATAATGCTTATTATAACCTCATAATAAATGCTTATTGATATTTCATCAGATTATTTTCCAACTTCATAGCTGGTAGAGACCCCAAAACAAATAGATTTGGACTGGAGAAGGACGGAAGGAAAAGTTCAGTCCTCAGATCAGGGAGTACAAACCAACACAACAGGCAAGCTCAAAATCAGAGGATTTTTGGCAGAGGCACTAAAACAGAAGCAGGAAACCACTAAATAAAACTCACTTTTCTTTGCAACTTGCCTGGGGCTGGCATGGCATATTCCACAACAGTACACTCTCATAGCCTCTCTCATCAGAAGTCAACAATGCCATTTTCATTCTCTTTTGTATGTGAAAATAATAAATCACCTACAAACATACTAAATGGCAACAAGTGAGAATCCTCAATAGTGTCTACAAACCTCAACCTACAGAGTACAGTTTAAAATGAAGAAAATATGGGGCAACTAGGTGGCGCAGGGCATAGAACACCGGACCTAGAGTCAAGAGGACCTGAGTTCAAATCCGACCTCGAAGGAAGAAAGGAAGGAAGGAAGGAAGGAAGAAAGCAAGGAAGAGAAACAGAAAATATTGGCCAAATTCCATCACAAAGTCGTAAAACTGCACTGTTATAAGAAACTCCTTTGAACCTTGTTGTAATGGGATCTACTAGTAGACTACAGTAATCACAATTTGAGTTCAAAGAAAAAAATAGTTAAAACGCAGTGATACACAATCTGTGCAGCAAGGATAAAAAATTTTTTAGCCCAATTATAATCTGCACTCAGTACTAATGAATAACCCCCCCCCCAACCCAAACACAGTACACTTCTGCCAGAATGCAGTGCAGGCATTCTAAGCATAAGATGAACTAAACTTGTACAGATAAGTTCCAATACTACACCGTAACAGGGCTTAGAAACAGTTTTCACCATTACAAGCTACGGCAATAATAACTTTAGTAAATTGGGCTTTAAAACATGGCTACTTATCACCATTCAACGAATGTAGTTCGGGTTACATAGACGCAGGCTGGAACAGAACTGCTCGGTAATTCCTTTCTTAAAGGAAGGGAAATTCTGAGTTGAATAAAAGTGGTTTATCCAGTACCATTTCTCTACCACATTGTATCTCTACTTCTGGACAAGAAGAATCTTATTTAAGCTTCTTTTTCCCCCTGACCCCTAACTCTGTTTTGTACAGGAAGGTAAGCAATAAATATGTTTTGTATTTATATTGGCAATGGCTAAAATTCCTCAAAAGTCTGAAGCATGTCATCTCATAAAGAAATGGATATGAAAATCAAGTTGTAACAATGCTTAAGAAAATTTCAAAAATCTGGGTTGTGTTTTCAGAGTAAGAACTACAACTTAGCTTCGTTTTAAAATGTATAATTAACACAAACCTTTGCCTCAAATTAACTGAAATAACCAGTCCTAAGGGTAACAATGGTGCTAAAGAGAATATGGTCATCACAATTCAGTCTGGCACACGGCAGATACTTAATATACACTTGCTGATGGACTATAGTATATTTAACATTCACTGACCAGCAATACCATAAAATACTATGCTGAATGAAGCAATATCTGACTTTAAATAATCTTTAGGAAAGTGCTCTGCTTTAACTACTAAACAGAAGTAAAAAAATTTTTCTTTTGTAAAAGCTAACCCCTACCCAACAATTAAAAAATTGTTTTTATTAGCCCTCATACTTTTTTCAATTAACTTATTAGCCTCTCCTTTCTTCAACAGATTCACAATTTCTAAGGTGTATGGATAGTAATTCCAAAAGATTTAAGGGGCAGCTTGGTAGCGCAGTGGATAGAGCACCAGCCCTGAAGTCAGGAGGACCCGAGTTCAAATCCGGCCTCAGACCAAACCCTTGACACTTACTAGCTGTGTGACCCTGGGCAAGTCACTTAACCCCAATTGCCTTTAAAAAAAAAAACTTTAGTAAATGGCTCTTCATCAGTTGCTGTGGACAAAAATATTTTTCAGTAATTGTCTGTTGGGTAACCTAGACTGATCCTCAGATGACAAGTCAGCCAGCCTCCAGTTTGGCTAAGACTTACCTAGCTTATACTATGACAACATTTCTCAGAACTTAGCATCACCTCCTTGGTCCTGATAAGATATTAGAAGACTTCTGCTTAGTTTAGTTCATGAATTTATGAAGGAAAAAAAGCATTTCCTTCCATTCTTTTTATGTTTCTCATCCTGTTTGAAATTTCAGCACAGGATTGTGTCAGCAGTTATGAAGAATAAATTATTTGGCAATGTGAAAAGCACTAACAGGCTTGAACAGAACCTACTTTCACTAATTAAAAAAATGCAAGGCAATGTCAAAATTAATTTTCTTGTGTGATTTTGTGAAAGTAATACAAATTAGTACAGAATTTAGTAAACCTTTCAACTTTCTGATATGACTAGTAAGCACAATTCTACAAGAAAAGAACATCTCATTTAGTCACAGTGGCACCGTTGCCCAAAAAATAGATGGCAATATCGTGATGCTCATGAAAGGTTAGGTTTACTGTAGTTTTCAAAATACCGTGTACTGTGAAGAAGCACTAATGTCAAGGTTACTTGCTAGAAACAACTCTGGCTAATCTCTAATATCAGAGAAACAGGTCCCTCATTCAGTAACCAGGCATGAAAGAAACACTGTCAAATACTGTTAAAATAAACTTTCAAACATTTTTATTTTTATTATTATTTTTTTTACCGGAGTCCATCTAGCTGGTATTTTGTTTTCAAGAGGCCTGAATACTAATAAAAATCCCTACCCACTAAGACATGGCAAACAAAGGCTTCATATTGAGAATACTGTGAACATGATTATGTTTCAAATTTTATCAGACATATTGAGCATAAAACCTTCAATAGTTTTAAATAACAATATTTAAGGTAAAACTACAAGAGTTAAATAAGAAGCTATACCCTTAAGCTTCTGGTCTGCAAGAACACTATCGCCACAGAATAACAAACACTGCCCTGGTCTCCACTGTTGATTAGCAAATATGTAATCTAAAAAAATGTAATCTAACTCAGAAAATGTTTTTCCAAAAATTTCAAAATATGAAAAGATAGCAAGCATTTAAGATACTTATTTTTCAACTCTCCTTCCTATTCCCACAAACCTCTCCTCACCTCAAAATGTATTTGCTTTGGGGGAGTAGAAATGACTTGTGAAAAAACCTTATGCAAAGATCTCAGGTTAGGCTCTTACCTTGCCATTTGGAAAGAAGGTCAAGTATAAAAAACACACTTCACCTTTTTCTGTTTGAGATGATGCAACTACTATACATGAATATTTACTGTCTCTGCAATACAGCACTGTAAGCCAGGGAACAAGTTACAACCCAGCTCAAATATATGTTATAACGAATTAATTAACCTATTGCTAAAGGACAATCACTTGAATGGAATGAGCAATATTGGGTACTTTTTTAGTATAACTTGATCAACTACTTTGTCATTACCATACATAGACATACAAATGTATACAAATGTGCACACACATATACAAGTTTAGCTTGAAAAAAATATTCAGGTGTAGGTTTTCCTACACCTGAATTTTTTTTTTTAATATTAACAAAAAACAAGAGGGAAAGACAGCTTTAAAGTTTAAAAACATGCGAAACAGTATCAGCAACTTTCAGCCATAGCATCAAAATAGGAAGTTAGCCAGCAGGCACTTTGTAGCTAAGCTAAAATAAGAAAAAAGAAAAAAAGGTTCTTTTGTACAAAGAAAAATGTTTTCTTTTATTTTCAAAATTAAAAAAGGCTGTAACTGGCTCATTTTTTTCCTCCTCAATGCTTGTCCCAAAGTTATCAGTGTTGCAACTTCCTATTCCAGATGCCTATACAGCACTGCACTGGCCAGACTGTATGCGAACACTAAATGAAGCAAATATGTTTCCCATACTTCATCTTAAATTTGTCTGTTCCTCCAGCCCTAATCATTTTCAGCAATATTTTCTAAAGACAAAAAGTCTTGTGGTATTTTATCCTGCATCTATTTTTAGTGAAAAATATTCATTGTGGTTTGAATAAGACAATTATGTATTAGTTGGCATTTATGCTTGACTTGCAGTACCTCTTTAAAACATTACTCTAACAGTCAATTTAGTGACAACAAGGTTAAAACTAGCTGCTTCTTCAACTGCCCCCAGGCTAACACGTTAACAGTAGAAGTGTTGCTCACCTTTTAAAAAGAACACTCAGGAAACGTGAAAAAGGAGTGGAAAAAGCAATGACTATGGACAAGCTGGTGACTAACTCTGGGCCTCAACTGCTCTCGTCTAAAATGGGGATCTCTTACCTGCCCTTTGGCAGAGCTGGACCTGATGACCTATTGAAGTCACTTGATTAATAACAATCACTTTTACCACAGTAAAATATCAATTTATATTTCACTAACTTGGAATTCACCAAGACTGGGCAGAAGCTTACCCTTCTATAATTAAAAAGCATTTGTTAAGCAAGATTTATAAAAGACTAATTTAACTTTCTTAAGAAACAAATAGTTTAAGAACCAACTAATTATAGAAATGTATTTTTCTATATACAAAATGTTTCCAAAGTCTTAGTGCAATTTTAAGCTTTAACAGTTTATATAGCTGTATATGCTACTTCAAGGACCAAAACTACTTACTATGTAACTAAACATACTTGAACTTTTTCTTACAAAATCTTGTAATTTAGATTCCAAATTCAGCTAGGCCTCCCCTCAGTCTAAATTAGTAACATTTAATGTCTTCCTGTTATCTTTTGATATTCAAGCTGAAGGCTTGGCCCTATGCAAAAGATAATAATGAACACCTCACTGTCTGAAGTCACTGAAGGGTTTGTGCCCTACTAATTTAAACTTTTTGGGGGCTAGCTTTAAGTTCGCTACTGCTCCAAGAAAAATATTTTGTTAAGAAGTTTTGTTCAATCTATTTATGAAAACAAAAGATAAAAGCACTCTCTATATAATTCATATGCTCATTAGCTTCCATGTACCTTAGCACCCTAGAATTTATAGCCAGTGATATAAGGTTACTCTATATGTAACTCTGTGTGTAATGGTTTGTCTCTACCCAAACAACTAAAATTCTCCATAAGGAATACAATTTATTCAAACCCAACAGACTGTTCCTGGTATTTTCCCCTTCTGTTATTTTACTGAAGGAACGTGGAATCTGCCAAAAGTAACTGAGAACCAACTCATTTGTTGAGAGGTATTTCTTGATCAGCCTCCAATGAATGGCTCCACACACAAGAGCCCAGTCTCTAATGTCTACCATGGGCCACTAGCAAGATTTGCAGATCAGAGAAGGTCAATTTCATTTCTTCAACAAACACAGCTGGGTAGCATTATTTGGGAAAACTTTTCCATCTCATGATTTTTCACTAAGGAAAAAAAATGCTGTCAAAAGGGGCTGGGGGTTTTGAATGCCTTATGAAAGCTGACACTTTAGTTCTTTCAAGGTATCAGTCCTGTTAATTTTTCCTTTAACACTATCCTAAACCTACCTTTCCTTCCCCAAAAAGAACTTTGTTAACAAGAAAACAACGGGGGTGAGGGAGGAGGTTTAAAATTATTCTAGAATTCTAATCAACTTTTTGAAACTGAAACTTCCGACAAGTACATTTTAGATTAGAAAAATCCTTTTTCTTTTCCAGTCTATGAGAAATATTATTGCTTTTCAAATGCAGAGTGTGTCTAGAAGAATTAAATTACTTGCAATTTGTTTCTGGAAATATTCACTGAGTATATGGTCAGTTTCAGATAGAAGCTATTCCTTTCCAGCATGAAAATGGCCATTAGTAATGGAGTTTTTTGATAAAAACTGAGCACAGAATACAGAAGGTTTTGGGGTGTTTCCCCCCCCCCCCATCACTGTTAAATTCACCAAAGCAAAGAATGCAATCTGGTCGAATACCAGAATCCAAATACAGTGAAGTCCTTTTATAATGTGTAGCATGTATGCAATCTAAGACTTTTGTACCGTTGAGTTTCAGAGGAAGTGATTTCACCCACGGTATACACAATTCTGTCTACCATAGTTTTTGTAAAGAAGAGTAAATAGGCAAAAAATTCTATGTTCTTTCAGTTCTGTTCCATTTAAGGACAGACTCCCTAAAGAACTGGCATAACTTTCAAGATATGTAATTCTAACTATGACCCAGTAGCCACAAAGAAAACTCTTAAGTGGCCTTAGGCTATCTAGAGATAATTTAATTACACTTTTTTTTTTAAATGAGGGTTTTCCCCTGCCCTACATTTGGGGCCTGAAGCAACAGCACTAAGGAAGCAGCATTTATTGAGCAGGACAAATGAGCAAAGCCTACCACTTCTGCCTCCACCTTTTCCATACTGCTGTTCCATCCTTTGCTCCCAAACATGAAATTAACCATATTGCCAATTCCTTTCCCCTTTAGATGCCAGATTTAAAAAGGAAAGTCACAACAACCTCTAGGATAAGTACGCCTTGCCAGAAAGCCAAGTGACTTACTCCAGAGCCAATCAGGAGAGAATCCAAGCTAAGACATTTCACATCAGGCTGACAGGTGCTTTCTGTATAGGCAGTGGAAGCAAGATTACATACTTTTCTTCCAAACACCAAGTGTCCCAAGAGTTATATAACTGCTAGTCAATATCCTAAATTATGTAGATATCACAGTCTGGAGCTGATTTCCCCTTTTCTCCCCTCCAAAAGGCACTTGGGCAAAGTCAATTTTGTTTCTTAGGGCTGACACCCTAAAAAGTAAACCTTACTTGCTTGCCTAATGAATGCTTCCAGAGAACCAAGAGCAAACAGCTGCTGGATGTACACACAATGAACTGATTTGCTACTAATTTGGGTTTTAAGGGATGGGGGGGGAGCGGGACAATAAGAAACTTGTGCCTTATATCCCCAGTTACAGCCTCTTTCTGAACATTTTTCTTTCATTAAAGCACAAGAAAATTACAGACTTGCCTTGTGAGGTCGAAAATAGAGATACTGGCTGAGAGGAAGAAACAAAGGAATCTGAAAGAAAATATATAGGATGAGAATTCGACAACCTCACACAGGAATTAAAACAACTTTTCTGCCAGTCAGATTTAGTAATACCACTATCTTTTAGAAGAAGAAAAAAACAGCTTCACTACTACATTTCCACTCACCTGGCAGGAAAATTGTATTTCAACATTAAGGACCTCTGAAAATGGGTAAGGTCAGCTGTTTTGCTAAACACATTCTTACCATTAAAGAAGAGTTGGCAAGAGGAGTACTTGTTCTGTAAGAATAACTTCAATCATAGCATTCATAGATTTTGAAGTGGAACGAATATCAGAAATCACCTAGTCCAATTCCTCTAATGAGGACAGGAGGCTCAGAACTGGAAAAAGGGACTTTATAACTAAGTAAGAAATGAAGTCAACATTCAAACACCGTTATTCTGTCAAATCCAGTGCCTTTCTTCTATACCACATTCCACTGTTATTTTTTTTTGGGGGGGGGAGATAATAACTTATATTTGCCCTACTAAGTTTTCAACTACCTGACAGGTGAGTAACTAAGGGTGCAGAATGAAACAAAAATATTTTGGACATGGCCAATTCAGAAATTTGTTTTGCTTGACTATGCCTATTTGTTACCAATGTCTTGTTTTTCTTGGAGGTAGGAGAGAAAGAAAATGTTTTTTGTTAATTGAAGAAAAATTAAATTTAAAAACATTTATAAGTGCATCTTAAGAGCCATTTATTGAATTGAGCAATTTGCAAGTTATTACGTACTTTCCAGAGTCATCAAATACTTATCAAGAATAAGGGATCCAAATGCAAACTTCACCCTTTAAATTTATAGCTCTCCAAACCTGCTCTTCTCTATAGTTACAGCATTTTCCAGTTCTGAACATTTCATACATTGTTCTTAACCGTACAGGAAAAAAATACTTAAAATTTAAGAAAGACTTTTCTGAAATATGCCTACAGGCACTAATTATGAAACACCCAGGAACAAGTACACAACACTGATCCACCAACACCCTAACAGAATTCAGCTAATAAACTTTTTATTACATACAAGTAAAATCAATCAAAATAAGTATGAGGGTAAAACAATATCTTTTCCCCCTTGTATATGAAGTGGTGCTGGTGCTACAACTCTGGAAAATCATACATACAGTATTAATAATAGTAGCTAGCACTTCTATAATTTAAGTCTTGTGCATATGTTTTCTCATTTAACTTTCATAAGGATCCTGGTGTAGCTGCTCTTAGTATCCTTATTTTAGAGGTTAAGTGACTTGCTCAGGCCACCTAGCCAGTAAGTGCCTGAGGCAAGATATGAACTCCTGTCAAGCCCAGCACTCTCTCCACCGCGCTCCCAAGGTGACTTGGTGTCTGCAAGTAGGAACTCTAAGGACACACCTGTTCCAATTTCAAAGAGAAAACCAACACTGCATTTGCAAATATTCCTTTTCCTTTATTCTTTTAACAAGCCTATTTATCTATTTCTTTAGTGTTTCCAGATGATCGCACTCCTATATGCATTTATCTTCACCTTGAAAACTGACAACTAGTGTTTGAAATCTAACCAAAACTGCAACTTCAATGCCAAAAATTAAAGTAAGCCGGCATAAGAGAATGAGATCCTACCAATTTGCCAGCTACCTTTCCTTCTTTCCCCCACTTACCACCCCATTTTGGTGGAAAATTCTTAACATGAGACCATTAATGATGCACAGCATATCTACTGAGAGCAAAGATAATCAGTCATAATTTGCATCAAGATTGTACAGGCATCTATTAACAAATGCACAGTGTAAGAGATCCTACTGTCATCTTCAGACTTTGTCCCATTAAGGACAATTAGTTTGTGGAGCTGGCTCAAGAATGGTGGTTTTGAGACTCAAACTCTTGTCTAAATCCTGTATAAGTGTCTAAGACAAGCTGTAGTGTCTTGTGATAAAGTACTGAAGTGAATCAGTTAGGTTTACAGTATCTGTGAAATAACAGAATAGTATACTGCAATAAATAACCAAAATCCAAGGGATCCTCTAAATTTACAGGCAGGCCACCCATCACTTCAGCACTTATCTGAAAGATGTCTTTCATATAAAAAGCAGGGGGCTGTCTTATATTCATCTTTATCAGAAACCCAGCCCAAGGGTCTTGAATGTAGTAGGTCCCCAAAGGATTGGCTGGCAGAATTACCTCAATTTAGATTTAGTCTCCATTTAAAGGATTAAAGTTTAAATGAAAAGCTTAAAAATAGACACCTTGCTCTTCAACTTTTTTTTACAAGGCCTGTAAGCAAATGGAAGTATTTATGTTCCCTTTCCATCACTGGGGGGGGGAGGGGAGAGGGAGTAGAGTACTCTGATGAACTCCTAACTGCATCCATCTCAACATTTTTCCTTAATCTGGCTTTCTTTAAAAAGGATTCCTCTACACAAAGCTTCACACTCTGATACTACTATGGGTATAACTAATTATTAATGAACACAGAAACGAAAAGTGACTCGCTCCCTAATATCTGTCCTCTCTAATACTAAATTGCAAAACTGGTCGTGCATAAATCCAAAACTGAGTTATGCACCTATTACCTTAATAGACACAAATCTGTTCTGTTGTATGGAGAATGTTGGCTATTTTCCACTTCATAACCACAGTATTACTCTATGTTCAATTATTTTCAATTTTTTAAAAATTCTCAATTTAAACACACAAAAAAGCATTTTCCACACAAAGTACAACACAATGAATACTGTAAATGAAACCACAAATTTCCATGCCCTATCACTTGCCTTTTTTAAAAAGCCTAATTCGGGGCAGCAAGGTGGCACAGTGGATAGAGTACTGGCCCTGAAGTCAGGAGGACCTGAGTTCAAATCGGGCCTCAGATCAAACACTTGACACTTACTAGCTGTGTGACCCTGGGGAAGTCACTTAACCCCAACTGCCTAAAAAAAAAAATTAAATAAAAAAAATTTTTAAAAAAAGCATAATTCAATCCATTACTTTCAAAACTGTCCTACTTTTCTGAACTTCCTTCTGTACTCTTCTGCAGACTTTTTAAAAGATTCCAATGGCCCTCCTTTCTTTCTTTCTTTTTTTTTTTGCATCACTATTACTACTCCTAATGCCCCTAATTCCTTTAAAGACAGAAAAGAAAAAAATAAAGAAAACCATAGTCAAGCAAAACAAATCCATAGTGGCCAAGTCCAAAAACATTTGTTTTGTTCGATTCTTTTGAAAAAGAATTGTACTTTTTTTTTCAGTTTCCAGAATAGTTTTACTGTTATTTTTGTTCTCTTTCAAGTCCATAATATTCTGAAAACTCATACACAATTTCAAAAACTAATTATCTCGAATTCCCACCTGGGACAACTAGCTTCATTACAAAATCAGTAAACAACAATTAAACTAAAGCTGTCTAGTAGAAACAACACCAAAAGATGCCAATTCCAAAAATAATAAAGTTTTAAAGTTTCAGTAAAATACTTAATTCTCAAAAGCATATCCTTGTCCCCTCACCCAATCCCAGCTGTGTTGTAGCAGAGAAGAGGTTTGTCTGAGCTAGTTCAGTGGCTCTAAAACTTGTTCTCAGGACATTCTTTCAGAATCTTAAACTGGTATGACTCTCAAGGACCTCCCCAACTGCACTTTGAGCTAGTGTGACTGATCAGCAATAAGGTAACATCACGTGAGAGGCACATAAAAGCCCTATGGTCAGTGACAAAGAATGAAGCAGCACAGGTGGCTCTATGGGGCAGAACAACAAACCCTGGGGTTAAGCCCTCTTTCCATTAGTGGCCTCCTTTGCTCAGTCCTCCCCGTGGCTACACTACCAGGAGTTAGGAAGTATTTCACCTTCCTCTGGTGCTGATTACAATGTAAACATAAGAGGGTGAACAAAGCAAACTCTTCATGCAAAAGAATTAACATTAGAAAGTGTAATGAGGCAAATGGGATTCTGCATAAGAAATTGGCTAGCTTGCAAGAATTTGGACTGCTAAAGTTTAAACAAGACAGTATTTATTTACGTCCTTGTATCCTCCCCAACAATGAAAAGCAAGTTAAATACATCTTGGCTTTTTGTCTGACGTAGGAACTTTGGCCACTGGAGAAGACCAATCTTTCATTATAGTCACAGAAACTTTCTGGGCCTCAGTTTCTTCATTTGTAAAATGAGGCTGACCTAGAACTTTTAGGTCCCCTCCAGCTTGGATCATATGAATGAAATTAAGTATATAAACTTCAAATTGTATTAGAATCCTTAACCAATGTAAATGTTGATAACAAATAAAATATAGTAATATGCTCAAGCAAACTATTGAGTGGGGAGGGGCCAAACTTACCTATATAAAACTACATGGGAAGTTAGAACCATTTTATCTAGCTTCATAATATTTTGATTTGGAAAGGGCCTTAGTGGCCAACTCGTGCAACTTCTTATCTTTCAGATTAAATAAGGTCATCGGTGGAAAATAACCAATAACTCTGAAATAATGATTAAAATAACGCAGCATGTTTGAAAGACAAATGCTGTTATTTTGAACTTGTACTCTTCCCCCCTCCCCCAAATCCATTAAATTATCCTCACCAAGACTCCGAATTATTTTCTGATAAAAGAAGGTATCCAAATGGTAAACCTAGTTAGCTCTCCCGGCTTTCATTTGCTTGGATACTTCTATCCCAACACTGTCAATAATAATAACTGATATTCTAAACTTCTAGGTATCAATTTCTCCAGGACATTGAATTTACTAAATTATGAAGCTGCAAGTCAGGACTCTGTAGTTCTACTGACCCCTGAACTCACTCGGGTGACCTTGAACTATTTTCAACCTACTTTTGCTTCACACTCTCCCATCTAACCAATAAAACGGTAATACTCCTCAATTTTAAAAAATGCCCTGTTGATGGCTAGCCTCTACATGAATTTTGCTTATAGAAGTTGCAGCATGTACCTTTACCAATCTTTCCTAAAGCAATGTCCTTCTTAAGGCAATCTTCCAATGTCTTTTCCCTCCAAACTCT